GCAAACGCATAAACTCTCAAATGGCCGGCAGCAGGCAACGTGGGCAACCCTGCCAGCAGCTGCTTACATAATTATGTGGATTCCAGGATTTGGGAACATAACGGAGAGATCAGGGAGCAGGGAGCAGGGAACTGGGAACTGGGAGCTGGAATGAGTCTCTAGAAACGGGGGGCCAAGACAAATTGGCATAATGAAAACAGCTGGCGACGCCTTCGAGGGTCAGAGGGCCAAATGCAAATCGCAAATGTCGCGTGTTCCTGCACATTTCACTTGTCGCCTGCTGGTCCTTGGGTCCTTTTGAGGAGTCCGAATCAGTGCTGGGAAAATAGGAAAAAAAATAGGGAAAATATATAAAATATGATTTATAAAATATAGTTTATAAAAGTATAAAAATAGGCAAAGAAAGAGAATTACATTTTTTATTAGATAAAATTTTAATTCAAATTTTAATACAATTTTAGATACATTTTTATTAAATAAAATGTTAATATAAAATTGTATTTAATAAAAAATTATTTTAAAAATTTAATTTTTTATTGAATAAAATTATATAAATAAAATATTATAAAATTAAGTATATTCATTTAAAATAAATAGTAAAACATAAAGTATTATACAATTTAATATATATAAAATAATAAGGATAAGGTATATAAAATAAATAAATTAAAACACAGGAAAAAACTATTAAAACTATTAAATTTAATATAAAAAATATATTTTCTTAATTTCTTAAACCATATAACAATTACTACAACTAATATAGAAATTTTGTATATTAAAAACTTGATTGATTCCCCATAAAATATATATTTATCATAAAAATACCCCTTCTTTTATCAAATTTATTTAAAATATAGCTTAAAATAATTTCTTAAATATAATACTATTTATTTAAATACCATAAAACTGCCCAGCACTGACTGCTGTGATCCTTATTTCTCATTTGAATTTCGCATAACCCGTTTTCCTCGACTGGGGGAAAGTACAAAGTGGGGGGGAAGGTATTGTAGCAACCGGACCACATATGGCCAGGACTGCATAAATTTCCGGCACACTTTCTGTGGCCAGAGATTCGAGATTCCGCCGCCGCCATCTTACCGGCGAGATGGCGATATCAGGCGAATTAGCATAGAAAACTGCAAATTTGAATTATGACCAGAGGCGGCAGCAGCAGCAGCAGGAGCCACGGAAGACACAACAAGGAGCATCAGGAGCAGCAGTTCCAAGGATCTGAAGCCAGGAGCAGCTGTTCCACTCGCCTCTGTTGAAGCGGCAAAATGTATGCGATGCGTAATCAAAGTAGTTGGAAAAAAAATAGAAAGAAAGAAAGGAAAACCCCGAACACAAAGAACTACAAAATAGATTTTTTTAAGGGGGAAATTTGGATACGAAACGAGGAGACTCTAAAGTGTGGAATCGATGAGATAATAATGTAAATTATGTATAAAATATGAGGATTATGGGAAATATATATATTATTCTTTGAGAATTAATACGGTTTATATATTTTATTTAAAAAGATCTTTAAAAGCTAAAAATAAAATATTTTTTAAAGCGAGAAAGGCCACAAACACCAAATTAAATAAAAATAAAGTATATAACTTTAATATTTATTTATTTTCTGACCTTAAATATTAAACTAAGTATATATATATTTTTTTATAATTATAACTAGATCTTAACAAGCTTGAAAAAAATATTTTTTAGGGATAGAAAAAAAACAAAAAAATATAAATCTATCCCAAGTTTATTTTAGGAATTTAATATATTTTACATGAATAACTTTTTAAATATTTATTTATTTTTTTATTTTTAAATATTTAGTAATTTTTTAGTATATTTTTATAATTATAATTATAAATTACTAGATTATTTTAAAGCTAAATTATTTTTAAGGGCCAGGACTAGTACGTTTTTCTTACGATTTTAATAATATTTTAAAAGAAAAACAATTTAAATATTAATTTTTTTCAACCTATATAAAAATCTATATATTCTATATATCCTATAACCTTGATTGGTAAAGAGTAGTCCTAGTGATTACCTTCGACACCTAGAGAACTAGACCTTCAGTGCTCCAACCCTTCCCACCCCTAACGACGACAGTTTGCATAATTCCGAGGACCCACTGTAATGGAGGGCTAAAACGTGGCTCCATTTTCCACCCGTTTCCCTTTTCGCTTTTCCAATTTGCATGTGCATATGCACATATGCTGGCATTGAACTCTGACCACTGCCAGAGAGATCCACCTCGGCATCCTGTGCCTGTTACTGTGCCTTTGCTATTGCCTTTGCCTTTGCCTTTGCCTTTGCCTTTGCATCCTTTTCTGGGAGCACATCGTGGCGCATCCTGGCGAGTCTAATGCGACTAATAGATCCTTGTTTGCCGAAAAGTTTGCGGCACCCAGCACTCACTTGAGCTGAGTTGGCCTTGTTTGCCACTCGGAGCAAGCATCGAGCATTGAGCTTCCAGCTCCCTGCTCCCTGTTCCCTGCACCCATTTTCCGGCTCCTAGCTTTTCCTCGGCAAATACGTAATCAGTGGAAATTTTCATTCGCATTTTTCCTGCCTTTACGTCTTTCGTCTCGGCAAATAAACGGCGCTTTCCTCCAAATACTTGAAATACGTTGCTCAATTTCCATAAACACGTGAGCAAATAGCACGTGTGCCTTGCGAGGCGGGACACAGGACCTTACAGTCAGGAATCTTAGGGCCTAAAATAATATATATATGATTTAAGGGAAAATTCAAAATTAATGGGAATTTATTTTCTCTATTTTTTAGAATTTGTATTTGTAAAAATGTGTAGTGTATTTTGAATACCCTAAAAAATTTTTTTTTTTTACTTAAAAATTATATTAAAAATTATATAAAATATTAGATTTTGTGCATATTTTTAATTTATAATTAAACCAAAAAATTTTTTACATAATCCTTAATATATCTAAATTATTTAAATCCCCAATTTTAATTCTTAAATTAAGTTTTCTAATATTATAATTAATTTATTATATATCTATTTAAATATCATAATTTAAAGCTAAATAAATACACTTAAAAATATATATATATATATATATATACATCATATACTGGTTTTAAAGCCACAAAACCACTAACTCATCAGTTTTCAGCTAAAACCCATTGAGAATTTTAATTAATTTAATAATCAAACTCACATATGTGTATAAATCTGTTCTTAATAAAACCCCAAATAATTTCACTTTGTATTCAATCAATATATTATAAATCTGTTCTAAATAAAACCCAAAATTACTCCACTTAATATTCAATCACTAAAATTTTTTTAGTGTATAAAAACCTGTCGACACTGAAGTTTCCCCTATGGCATTTGTTAACTATTGCCGACATTTGCTTGCGTAGGTGGCACCTCACAAGAAGCCCCTCCAAGAAATCGGCAAACCCCCTCAAATATATATATATATCTCCTTTTTTTTATTCTGCCAAGCCGCCGCCGCCTCTGTTTGAGTTTCGGTGCTGTAAAATGCGCCTCAAATTGATTTTTATTTATATTTCAAAGGGAAAACTTTTGTGCAGCTGTCGTCGTCGAGGAGGAGAGGAGAGCTTGTTGTTTTTCTTTGGCATCTTCTGTTTTTGTTTTTATGTTTCTTGTTGTTGTTGGCATGCAGCTGCGACAAACTTGCGAATCGAGCCGTCAATATTTCATTACCGACTTCTCTCCATATACAACATCGATTTAGTTATTCAAGGGGAAATCGAAAAGGGGGAAAGGGAAATCAGGAGTCAGGAATCAGGAATCAGGAGGCATGAGGAGCAAACAACTCCAGGCATCGTATACTATATAGAGTTCATGGCAGGTATAAATAATCCAATAAATAATCCAATCAGCTAACAAAATGTATTTATGATTATGCCCAAATGCTGTGTTTGTTTTTCCTATTTTCTTTTTTTTTTTGGGGTAGAAGAAAAGAATGAGTGGAATTTTCTTAGTAGTTTTTGTTAATAGAAAAATATATCTATAAATATAAATAAAAATATATATGTATATAATATATAATTATATATAATACAAAGCTAAATTAATACGATCTAGTTCCCACTCAACCGCAAGCCGATCATTTCCATCTGCGGTTGAAGGGGATTATACAATCAGAAAAAAAGTAACGTGATTTGAAAAACGTAAGTGTACTTAGAGAAAATAGAATATATTTCAAATTGTAATTTTTTTAATTATAATAAAATTTAGTTAACTTTATATAATAATTAATTAATAAATAATTAAGTAATGGGATTAGAAAAATGTAAGTGTACTGAGAGAAAAGGAAATATGCTTTTTTTTAAATTTATAATGCAATTAATTAATTAAAAAACGTTTAAAAAACTTAAAAAATACAAAATTAAATGTATATAAATATATTAAATGCTTAATTATTGGTAAATTAATTTAATTTAACAAAAAGTTAAAAAAATTATTATATTAATAGAATTATCATTGAAAAATCTATAAATTAATAAATTAATTAACCTATAATTAAGCATTTAATATATTTATATTTAATTCTATTAAAAAAAGTTTTCTTTTTTATTTTTTAAGTCGTTAATGTATATTTATTTTTATTGCTAATTCTTGTAAAAGTCTAATGAAACTTGCTTCATTTTATTCAAAAATATATGTAATAATTTATGTTAAATTTTTAAAACATTACCTTAAAATATTCTTATTTATAAATTTAAAAACTGAAATTCCCTTATTTTTAATGCTAATTTTTTTAATATAACAATTTTTTTTTTTTTTTTTTTAATTTTTGTTAAAAAAAATCTAAAAATTAAGTTTTCAGTAGCAATAATTTCTTATCTATAATTAAGTAAACAATTTTTTAAATAAGTATATTAAATTCAATTTAAAATAATTATTTTTTAAGAATTTTTTTTTTTGCAAGTGTAAAAAATCGCAAGTAGCCTTGCAGCAGCATCTGATCTCGATCTCGATCTCTGATCTGTGAATTTCATTTCGCCGTCAATCGTCGTCATGGAACGTTGGCAAAACCGCGTGGCCGTGGTGACTGGTGCCAGTTCGGGCATTGGAGCAGAGCTGGCCCGTCACCTGGTCTCCTCTGGAGTGATTGTTGTGGCTCTTGCCCGTCGTCTTGAACGTTTGGAGCAGCTTCGCCGTGAACTCCCAGAGGAACAGCAGACGCTGCTCCACATTCGGCAGTGCGATGTCACGGATATTGAAGCTGTTAATGCCACGTTTGATGGAATAATCCAAGAGCTGGGCGGCATCGATATACTGGTGAACAATGCCGGCAAGCTGTCTGGTGGCCAGTTGCTTACCCTGCCCCTGGACACGATCCAGCAGGTTCTCCAGACGAACGTAATGGGCGTGGTTACCTGCACACAGCGGGCGTTCGCCTCGATGCGGGAGCGTCAGGTCACGGGTCATGTGGTGCTCATCAATAGCATCGTGGGACATTATATATTCAATCCGCTGCCCGGTAGCCAGCAGGAGTTGAACATGTATCCGGCAACCAAGCATGCGGTGACGGCACTTACCGAGCTATTCCGCCAGGAGATGCGAGACTTTAAGACCCAGGTCAAGGTCACGGTGGGTACTGAAATTGATAAACCCATTAAATCGGCTTACTAACCATTTCTGGCTATTAATGTCTTTATTTTTAATGGCCCAACAGTCGTTAAATTAATTTCTTAAAGCCAAAAAATAGTTTTAAAAAATGTATACTTATATTTTTACGATCTGCTATTACCTCAGAGCATTAGCCCGGGACTGGTGGACACGGAGCTAGTGCCGCAGGCCTATAAATCGCTGCCCATGCTTAAGGCTGAGGATGTGGCCAATGCTATAATGTATGTCCTGGCCACGCCAGAGCATGTCCAGGTGCACGAGCTGACCATCAAGCCCATGGGTGAGCCCTTCTAGGACTTGGTGTAGATTCTAGGACGACAGTGCATTCCTTTTGGGCTGGCCATTGGAGGGTCTTGAATATTTGATTATAAAAAGCACTTGTTTGTGAATAATTTGTGAAGCACTCAAGGCACTGCAAAATAAGCATGCCGTTTTTTTAAATTATATTAATTATTCTAATTAATATTACATTTTAAATAAATTAAATAAAATTATATGAATATTTATATTGTTCTTACAACTTTGTTTTTATATATATTTTTTTTTTGCTTAAAAATAGCTTAGAAAAAATATAAAATTTTCAATATTTAGCTGTTTTAATAATTTTTCTGTTTAAAGTTTTTATTTGTTTTTGTAAATATTTTTATATATTGTTAAGATTTTTTTTGGCAAGCATTAGTTTTTTTATTAAATTAAAAATTAAATTAAATTATAAAATTAAAGTAAAAAAAACAAAGACATTAAAATTATAAAGTTAAAGTAAAAAAAACAGACATTAAAATTATTTAAAAGTTGTATAAATGAAATTGTTGTTTTTTTATAATTATTTTATCTTATTTTTTACCGCGAAAAATATTATTTAGAGTTCTTATTTATTTATTTAGGTATTTATTTATCTATTTATTTATTTATTTTTTATATTTTATTTGCTTATTTTTTATATTTCATTTATTTATTTTTCATATTTTTTATATTTATTTTTTTATATATTATTTATTGATTTATTAATTTATTATTTTTTAATACATAAAATATATAATTTCTTTAAAATATCTAGAATATATATTAAATATTTTAAACCTGTTTTCTTTGTTTATATTTATTTGCTTATTTTAAAACGCAAAATATACAGTTAAGTTCTTAAATGATTTATTTTCATGTTTACTCAATATATTTATTTTTTATTTAGAAAACGTTTAATATTCTTAAATGATTTATTTTCCCAAGATTTATATATATTTTTTATAGCTTACAAATAATTTATTATTTATTTTTCTATTACTTTGTTTACTTAGTTCTATATATATATATATTTTTTTTTTTTATAGCTTAAGATTGATTTATTATGCGGAAGCTTAGCTTGTGTTAGTATTTTTTTGCGACCCGTTAAACGCGAAGCATTAAACGCTTAAAAATCGTCTTAATTGCCTCTATATAAACGCGGCACATCGCGAATATTGAGTCATGAATGATTCTCTCAATTATTCATTTCACGTGTGAACGGCGCGCTTTGGCGGTTCGATTGTAAATAATTAATAAGCCAAATACCAAAGCCCAGTTTGGTGGCCCAAAAGGGGTACATATAATGCCTCCGACCAGGCGCCATCTCAACTTAGTTGCGAGGAGGCATCAGAAACGGATAGTTTGAACAGAAAAAACACTTGAAAAACAATTACAAATCAAGTAACAAATATTGTTTATATATTGGAAAATATATATAATAATCTCTAAGCCACAGAAGATGGAACGCTGGCAGGATCGTGTGGCTGTGGTAACCGGAGCCAGCTCTGGCATTGGTGCCGCTCTCGCCCGGCAGCTGGTCAATGCCGGTGTGATGGTAGTGGGTCTGGCCAGGCGTGTGGATCGCATGGAGGCCATCAAGGAGCAGCTGCCGGCAGAGTTACAATCTCGGTTTCATTGCATCCACTGTGATGTGGGGGACTTGGATTCAATAACCGCCGCCTTTGATTGGATTGAGGAGCAGCTAGGTGGCTGTGACATCTTGGTGAACAATGCCGGCTGTCTGTTTCCCGGCCAGCTGCTCACCCTAGAGCTGGAGCAACTGCAGCAGACGTTGAATGTGAATCTAATGGGTGTACTTCATTGCACTCGGCGTGCCTATCGCTCGATGAAACAGCGGGAGGTGGCCGGTCATGTGGTGCTCATCAATAGCCTGACGGGGGATACGATTATCAATCCTCCAGGGGATGAACTGCAGTGCCTCAATATGTATCCTCTGACCAAGCATGGAATAAAGGCTATGCTGGAGGTACTGCGTCAGGAGTTTAGAGGCTTCAAGACGCAGATTAAGGTCACGGTGAGTTTGGATTTAGTTTTCTTTTAGGAATTTAATAACATTTTTGTTCAGAGCATCAGTCCTGGTGTCACCGATACGGAGATCCTGCCGGGTGGCTTTGATAGCCTGCCTATGCTCAAGCCTGATGACATAGCCGCTGGCATTATGTATGCGTTGGCCACGCCCCCGCATGTCCAGGTGCATCAGCTGACCATCAAGCCGCTGGGTGAACCCTTTTAAGGCGTCCACGGGTATCCTTTAGATCCTAGGATCCTTGTCTTCAGCGAATATATAGCAATGACTGTAATTGCGTTCTCTCTTTATTTGAAAATAACTTGGCTACATTTTTCGGGTGGGAAGGAGAGACGTGTGTCACTTGCGGCAAGAAAAAAAAGAATGCCAAGGAAAATATATATATATATATAGACGAAAATAAGTTAACATTAGCATGGAGTCCTGGCAGCCAGGATGTTGATGACGTCTAAGGGGGTGGGTGGAAACGGGAGACGGAACAGGTGACGCGGCCACATCCGCATTCGCATCCGACTTCTCCGACTGCAGCAAGGACGCTCTCTGTCAATATTGAAAGCGTACGCGTTTGACATAAAATGTAATATAGTCGCACACACAGACACACACACAACCCGCTCGAAGGAGAGAGGAGCTATGCAAAGCTGCTACCGCGTAAAATGCACTCAAAGAAATGCATAAAATGCAATTCCTGAACAAAGACTTGGGAATTATAAGCAAAAATTGGATCTAGAAATTAGCAAAAGCTTCGCTTTCATAGGAATTCGCATAGAATCGTATGAATATTAAAATGATTCTGGGATATAACTACAGAAGGGTCTAAAAAATTAGCCTAAGCTATGGAAATTGCACCCCCTGAGCTAGCACTTGGGAATTATAAGAAAGAATCAAGTTACAAGTAATCATAATATCACAAAAATAAAAGTGCCATTTCCATTCTCCCAGTGCAATTGACGGTGGCTTCGCATTTTGCATTTCATTTCGAAGGAGAGGAGCCGCACATGGCACACATGGCGCATTCCTTGACGGCGCCTCCTCCACCTTTGGGCTAAGCCGGAGTCAGACAACTTTTATGACTTGCTCGCAAACAGGAGGAGTAGTAGTAGCAGAAGGAGAAGCAGCAGAAGGAACAGCAGCAGAAGGAGCAGCAGCAGGAGCAGCAGAAGGAGCAACAGCAGAAGGAGCAGCAGCAGCAGGATCAGGATAAGGAGCAGAAGCCGGAGCAGCAGTAACGGTAATGGTGATGCTTATGCTTATGGTAACAGCAGCAACATCGAACTTCGTTTCGCGTCACGCCAAGTTGTCAATGTTGCATATAAACACGGTGTTGTCAATGTTGCTGTTGCTGCAACTAATATTGTTGCAACTACACTGGGATTTAAATAATGTTAATAAAAAAATATAGACAATATAATAAAATATAAATATATAATAATAATATATAATAATTATTCATATATTTATATAATTTAATAAGTCTAAAAAAGCCATCGATTTCTGGATTAGCATTACTTTCTTATTCATTTTAAAATTATTGTATTATTTATTATTTAGTAGGTATATTAATATTTTTATTAGTAAAATTTTTGTATAGTTATTTTGTTTATATTATTTATTTTTAAAATTTTTATAATTTAATAGGAATATATAAAGTTTTAAAGTAGACATGGATTTCTTAATTTCTTTCTTTTTATTTAAATTATTCTTTTTTTAAGTGTTTTAATATTAAAAACTGCTATTCTTAAGTTCTTTGTTATATCTTATTTTGGTTATAATTATTTATTCATTATTTGTTTGTAATCTTTTTCAATTTTAATTATTATTTGTTAGTTTTATAAGTTCCTTATTAAGTATTTTCTTTATTTTAAATTTCCGTTAAATTTCTTTCTGTGTAGAAAACTGTTCATGTTGCTGCTGCTGCTGCTGCAGTTGCTGCAATATTCCTGGGCGGAAAGTTGGCGGGGCAGGTCGTTCCATTCGCTTGTCTCCTTCACTGGCACAGCGAGTCCTTTGAAAGTGTCTGTCAGGAATATAGAGCTAATAATGTCGCGGCTCCTAGTGTTGTCTACGAGTTTCGATATTCCTTTGCGGTTTTTTTTTTTTGAGGGGGAAGAAAATACAAAAACACATGACCTGCAGCTTATCCACTTGAAACTGTCGCATGAGAAGTCTTGGAGGTAATTGAGCCTTCAATGTTACAGCTGCTTTAAATTATGAAAATATTTATTTTTAAAAATCTATTTATATTAAATATTTTCCGCTTGATTTTCCCACCCCCCTTGACCTTTTGGTTTGGTGGAGAAATGCTTGTGAGTTGCAATTCGAATTCGATTTCGTTTCGCCGCTTCTGCGTTGGCCACTTCCGCTTATGTTCCATTTCCGTTTCCTCATCACGGTCACGCCTTAAAGTGTTTTCTTTGGTGCTGCTGTTTTCCCCGACTTTTCCTCTACTTTCTCTTGTTTTTCTTATTTTTTCCTTGATTTTTTTTTTGGTTTTTTTTTTGTTTCCAACGGAAGAAATTTATTTTGCACTCGACACTTGAACTTTTTCCTTTTCAAGCGCGCCTTTTGCTCTCGTTTGGGAACCGCCCGAGGTCACAGGTCAACGAGGAGGGGGAGGATGAGGAGGAGGGAGAGGAGGAAGTGGAACAGGGGCATGTGGGTTTGGCTGGGCGGTGGCTGTTAGTGTTATGGCACTTATTAGTGGCCAGCTTCTAATTTGTTTTTAAATACGTAGCCCCAGGGCGCCGTCATTTAAGTGGTTCCAACTTTCATTTCCTTCAAGTTTAAAGTTTTTTTTCAAGGTTTTTTTTTAAGTTTAAATTGGGTTTTTTATTAGTTTTATTTAAATATTTAATATTTTTTAATTTAATATTTCTAAAATTTCAAGAGTCATTAAATTTTTAATTTTAATTATTTAAATTTCTGTTTAAATTGATTTTTTATTTGTTTTAGTTAAATATTTAATATTTATAAAAATTTAATTAACTTAATTTAATTTAATTTTTTACCAAAAATGAAAAAAGTACGACTTTTTAAGAATTCAAAAATCGTAAAAAATTGATTTTTTGACAATTTTAAAATTTAAAAAAAAAATGGTGATAATTGAGAAATCAGCTTTCGAAATTAAATTTAATAAAATGTTGTCTTAGTTTTAAGTTTTTAATTTTAATTTTTTTTTCAAGAAATTAACAAAAAAATTTATTTAATTAGTTAATCCAAGCTTTACAAACTTCGGCTTCCGAAGTATATACATATATTTGCTTATATTTTCTATATATATTCCATTTAAATTCAAATTGGACAGGCGCCACAAGGAAGACACCTGGAAAGGCCCAATCCCTGTTGAGGACCCAAAATTTGATCAAAATTTCTGCTGCATACTTGTGGGCGCCAGATTGGAATTTGCATTAAAATTAGGTGAGTCAAGATGGAGGCCACATCCGCCTGCCATTAGCCACTTTTTGTTTTGTTTTTTCTCTCCCTTTTTTTTTTGTTAATTTGTTGACACTTTTGGGTTGTCTTTGGGAGGGTTTTGCCTCATCTTGATTGATTTGCCGCCACATTTTCCCACCCACTTTCCCAGCTGGCTTTACGTGAGCTAATTAACATAATGCTGACAGTTTTTAATAATTTGAGGCGTAGTCCAAGGGCAGCAGGTGCTGCAAATGCATTTGATTGCCCAAAAAAAAAAAAAATGTAGTAGTTGCCTTTTAATTAAAACTTCAATTCGACGAACTGAAAATGCAAACCCAACACGCCCTCTATAGGATTTTCCCCAATGAATTTATCCTAAGGATATTCCTTTTCCTCCCAGACTGTGTGTGTGTGTGGGTGTGTGTGTGGTGACTCAATCACGCGGCTCACATCTCGCAGCGGAAAATCTAATTAAACAGCTTCGTGGCTGCCTTTCCTCCCCTCTCACTCATCCCCTAGGGAAAGCGGGAAGGAGCTGTATTTGTATCTTAAACTGTGCAGATGTAGCTGTATCTTAAGCTGTATCTATGTATGTATTTTTGTCTTCTATGAGTTAGTGGAGAATTTTGAATTTTAGGGCCAAAACTATAGAAGTTTTAAAGCTTGATTTGTTTATTGTTGAACAATAAAAGACCAAAATATTATTAAATAAATTTAATGAATAATACTTATTATTTATGATTTTTTTTTTTATTTTATGAGATTTTTATTAAATATATTTAAAATTTTTGGTTAAGAAATTTAATAAATAATAATAATTCCTTAAATTTTATTTAGTAATATTTCGAATATTTATATTTTAATATAAATAGAAATAAATAAAAAGACCAAATTGTTAAGCGAAAATAATTAAGTAAATAAATTTAATATTTATTAAAATACATTTAATTAATTAAATAAATTAATTGAAATTAATTGAAATATTTATTTTTTTTTATTTACCAATCAATTTAATATTTAAAAAAAATTAATAAATAATTAAAAACTATTTAAAATTAAAAAAGATATTAATCAATAATAATAGTTATTTATTTAAGTTATTTAATATTTAATATTCATTAAATTTATTGTAGTAATATTTTTGTTCTTCTTTTGTTAATCAAAAATAATTAAATAAATAAATTTAATTTAAATTAAATAATTAATTAAATTCATTAACTTTTAATTTTGAAAAATTTCATCAAATATTTGCCCTTAAATAATTGAAATATTTATTTATTTATATTTATATTAAACAAAAAAAAACTATCTTATATCTCTCCTTTCTTTTTAATCTTTTCTCCATTTCGCGTGCAGCTTTTCCTGGACACTTTGACTCTTGACTTGCATAATTTCCGCTGGTCCAAGCTTTTGCACTTTTCCCCTCTTTTTTCACTTCCCCCATTATACCCACTTTTCCTGCTTTTCTCTGCCATTTCCGTTGGCATTGTCGCAGCATCAACTAATTATAAAGTTAAGAGCGGAAACATTTACAAAACATTTAGCGAAAAATGCACATTTGCTAGAAACGTGTGCGGACTCGGTAATAAGCGAGTTTGTGTTACCCGCCGAAACTTGCTAACGAAATCAAAAGGCCAATTCCACAGTTCGGTTGTCCTGCATTCCCATGTCCCAACATATACAGCTCCCACAAGCTTCCTTTCCGCCCAGGAACATGGCCAGCCGGGCATGCAAATGCCTCCGTCCGGCGACCGCCAACCGCAAACGAGCTCCGGGCTTCGGGTCTCCAGCTCCGGTTCTCATCCCTACTGCCCACATTCACTCACTCACTCACTCACTCACTGACTCATGTGTTTCCTT